CCTATGATCCTATGTAATCAGCCTCCTCTCAAAGAGTGGGAAGAACTGTCCCCAGGGTTTAGGCCATAATCATTTCTAGACAAGAACTACAATGGAATTCAAAATTTTAAATGCAGCTTCCCACGGGCAAATTCACAAGGGCACAAAGTGCTCCCTAGTCAATGACAAGCTGAATGGAGAAAGGCTATGCATAGCACTCTCAAGGCACAACAATCTGCAGGGTGAGGAGTATACCTTGGCTTGTTTGTTTTGTTTTTAGGACATAACAAAAGGATCTATAGGGAGTGGTCACTACCCTAGTGGTTAAGCTGACTGTCCCTCACACTGGAATACCTGGGTTTGTTTCCCAACTCCAACTCCTGATTTCAGCTTCCTACTAAGTTACACCCTGGTATGGCAGGAAGGGGCAGGTAGTAGTTATGGCTTAAGATATTTGGCTCCTGTCATCCATGTGGGAGATATAGATTGAGGTTCTGGTTCCTGGCTTCAGTCCCAGCCAGCCTCAGCCATTGCAGGCATTTGGGAAGTGAACCAATAGATGAGAGCCCCCCCAAGTTGCAATCTTTTTTCAAAGAATGGTCCCCAGATGCATGTGTGAATTTGTCAGAGTTACTGTCTATTCCAGTGACTACAATGTTACACATTTGACCCAATAGTAAGTAGATTGAGATCACTGAAGTTTTTCAATTCCATTCCTGATTCAACTTCATAAATGGCCCAAGAGGCTGTGTCAGTGGGGTTTAAAACTACATGAAAGGCTTCATTTCCATGAAATAAGCATTTTATCTACGAGTCTTTTTTTCAAATTCTTTCAAGACAAATTTTATTTTGTTAAGTTTACACATCAGTATGGAGTTCATTGAAAGACATTTAATAAAAAAAAAAATGACAACTATTTTCTAGCCCAAACATAAAACAATACAGCATTGAATTTATAATGTCCCTCGGCAGCATCCTAGATAGGTTTGGGCTTACTCATTATTTTGTGGAGGTAGCAAGAATGAGGATGGGAAAGAATTCAAGTCAACAAAGATTTCTTCCACATCAACTTTCTCAACAGGATTTTTTTCACCATGTGTCCCCCAAGTTCCCTCTTCCCAGTCCTACCTTCATGGTTTTCATTTTCTCTGCCAATCACTGTAACTTAGCTTGCGCCTCCCCCCCCCCCCCCCCCCCTGCTTCTGAGAGTATCTACAGCCTACCAGTCTTTCAGTGTTCAGCTCCCCAGGATGCCTCCCTCAATCTCTTCAGTCACAATGCACTCTGCCTCTGAACAGTGATGATTTGCTATAGATTTTACACTTCATTACCCAGTACCTTGCACTGTCAGCTGTCTGTTTCATATCCAGCTCTTCTCTCTGCTTGCTCCATATCCATAATGCCAACTACTTGCTGGAAATCTTCATAACATTGACTCAGTGAACCTCCATTCAATAAGTCCTAAACAACTCATATCTTTAGTACCAGTTGCCCCTTCCAACACAAAAACACAAACCTCCTCCTGCTGCTCATGTTCCTTCCCTTCCTTCTTCTATTTTGTCTTGTAATGAAATTCAGTACATATGTCTAAATCACCCTGTTAGGCACTATATAGACAGAAAGATACACAAAGGTGAGTCCATCTCTCATGAGCTCCCTGTCACTCTCCATAGCACTCTGTATTTAGCTCTATTCCAATGGTGTCGTCCCTCATATGCTGTGAACACCTTGAGGACGGAGTCAAGTCTTATACTTCTCTGCTTCAGCACTGCCCAGGATACAGACTGATATCCTAATCACAGGAAATAAATAATTGCTGGATGGCTATGTGGGTAACCCTGCCTGCCCTTAGGGAGCTCATCATCAAAGTGGACCCTTAAAACTTAAAGTTATCCTCCCCTGTTCCTTTATACTCATAACTAATCATCAAATGTCCTCGATTCTATTTCAAGAGTATCTCCTGCATCCAGCTGCTTCTCTTCCTCCTCACTATCACCAGAGTAGTCCACATCACCATTCTAGATCTCAGCAGGCACCTCTACCAGTTTCCAAATGTCATTGTTGGTTATGCCACCATGTCCCTGCAATCCAGCCCTCACACTACCACTAGAAAGATCACCCTGAACTACATGCTATACCCTGCTAAAAACTTTACATCGATATCCACTTTATGGAGCACCAGTTCAAGGCCCCAACCCTTCTCTTTATGCACATGATCCTCAACTTAAATCGCCCTACCACCTACTCCATGCTTACCTACTTCCATGTTTTAACATATTAAGTCCTTCTAACCTTCTTCCACAAGTCACAAGCTTCTTCTATCCTTCAAAACTCAATTTAAGTGCTTCCTCCCCACCTTAGATTATGCTAATCGAATCATTTATTTACTGCACCAACTGCATCTTTCTTAGTGTGTCCTATCCTATTGCAGTTAATTGTACCCACACCTATCTTGACTGGAAGGTCCTAAGGGGAAAAGTCTATGAGGTATCCCTCATCCAAGTGCCTAAGAGGTACTCAACTAACAAGTTGAACAGAGTTTAATTACCTCTCCCACAATATGCATTGATCTTACAAATATTTACTGAGCACAAACAAAACAGAAAATCTACCTTTGTAGTGTTTACATGTTAAGGGTAACACACAGACAGTAAATTACTTAAGCATATAGTGTGTTCAATGGAGAGGAATGATAAATTAAAAATAAAGCAGGAAAGAGGGATAGAGGCAGTGGGAAAAGGGTTCAATTTTCTCTTGGGTAAACAGGAAGGGCCCTACCATTACATGGACAAGGGAGCAAACCTGAAGGAAGTGACAGAACGAGCAATGCTGATATGTGGGGAGAGACAAACAGCAATTGAGGAAGGAGCCTATTTGGTATGGGCAGCCAAGAGGTCAGTGTGGCTGAAGAGAAATTAGAGGCAGAAGTGAGAAAAGAGGCCAGCTTCTGGAGGGCCTTGCATGCTATTGTGATGACCTTGGCCTTTATTTTTAACAACTCAAGTTATATTTTGAAAGAACTACTTTGGCTACCATATTTAATTAGATGATAACAGTGACAAGAACAAGAGCAGAGATAGCAATTAGGAAGTTACTGCAAAAAACTGCATGACAGATTTTGTCCCACATACTTTTAGTCCCAGGCCTTCCAAGACTAGCAGGGCTTCCTGGCTCCAGCAGCATAGTCCCATCTTTGACAGTTGGGCAGGATGCTTCTAGGGCTTACCTAGGTGCTCAAACAGAGCCAAAGATTTCCATATGAATCTTAAACTGAGTCCTAAATCAAAGAGACTATATGAGGGCACTTCAAAAATTCATGGAAATTGGAATTAAAAGGTAGGTTTATTTTGGTGTAAAAATGTCCTTGAAATCTCCACATAGAAGTCTTCAGAACATTCATGAAAATGTGTATTATAAAAAAATTACACAGGATTTCAACTTTCTGCACCAAAACTTCTTATTTTTAATTCCATTTTTCCACAAATACTCTAAATTTCTGTGGTAGGAGAAATGTGAAAGGAAGATCTCAAAGACTAGGATAAACATCCTAAGATAGTCTATAAGGGAGTGGTCAGATTGTACTACAAGGCATCGCAATACAAGACATTTCAACAAGAGATGTCAAAGTAATGGCATAGTGTACACTTCCTACATCCCCTCAACAGTTCTTGGGATTTTCCCAGAAAAGAAAGCAGGAGCCGTTACTTTTAGTTTTGCAGATGAAGACACTGAGTCAGGGAACAACATTAGAGTGGATCTCAGCAATTGCTTAGGGATCCTGACAATTATATTATATCAATTGAAATATTTAGTAAGGGAGAAATCCGCTATGAAAATCATCAAAACCAAGGAAATTCCAAGGCATTGATTGTGAAAATACTGAAGGGCTCAGCAGAAACTTTTAGATGCCCAGTAATTAAAAATGCTAAGAAGTCTACACATACACGCATAACCACAGATACATTAATAAATACATTCCGTGAAAGAAAATGTCCTCCTTAACCCAACACAGAACACATACAAAAAAATGCTAACTGAATTGTATCTGCAATAGTTCAGCAAACAGTTCCCAACAATGGTTATCTAGGGGAAGGGACAAAAGGAAGAGGAACTTTTATTATCTACACTATAAACTTCCATAGCATTTTGCTTTATTTACAGAAAGCCTATAATTATTTTAATTAGTATCAGTTTTGAGGTATTCAAAAAGCAATGAAGACAACTACCAAACAAAGCACTAAGAAGCTAACCGCTCAAAAGAGCCTGTGGGAATATTTTTGAAAACTGAAGACATGTAAGAATATGAATAACTGAACACTATTTAATCTATACTGTGACATATTTTTATGTATGAGGGCTTCAGGTTTTTTTTTTTAAATATAAGCAGAAACTACCTTCTTGAATAAAGGGCAAATGAGCTACTCCCACCCAAAAAAACCCTCTAAGAAAGACTACTGAAAAAATAATTCATTCTCTGGATGTTATTAAGAGAAAGGGCAAGCAGCTAGTGGTACACAGAGAGTTAAAGACAATCTTGTTCAGAATCCAAGTGGCCAGACAGCTTCCTGCTGCCCTGTGATTGGTATCTCTAACACACATCTCTGAGGCATCTAGCCTTAGGTCTGCTTAAAGGGCTTGGGTCTAAAAAGGGAAGTCCACACACGGCAAGTCTTATTATTGTATTCTGCAATGGTGATTCTCAGAGTAGCAGGAAGGACTATATGCCGTATTACATGGGCTAGCATTCACAGACTTAAAGGGACATACTGAAGGTGGAGCAGTTGTTTGAGCCTTGAATTCCCTTGCTTTTTTAGCTTTTCACTGCTTTGATGTGCTCTAAATACAACTTTGTCTCAAAATATCTAGTCACAGATTCCCCCATTTCTATTCTTATTTTTGGCATACACACATACAAATAAAAAATAGTTTCTCTTAACCAATTAACATTACTAGATTGTCAGTAAGAATACCAAGACACTGCAAAATTCACATTTCAAAAAGGCTTTAAAAGTGTCACTTACCACTGGATTTAATTTCTCGGACATAATTACTAGGGAACCAGCCTGTTCTTCCATTTAATGTGCCTTCCCACCAGCCTCCCTCTTCAACTCGAGTGACGTAAATGATGTCCCCTTTACAGACTGACAGTTCATCTTCATTTGTCTGCTTAAAGTTGAATCTCGCCTTTACTATCAACTGCTGACTTCCATTCTCCGTCATCTCCTGAAAAAACAAAAGCGACAACAGATTAACACTCATGTAAATGATACAGGGATAGCAATAAGGATTTAGGCAAATAAAGTGGGGTAACCAAAGATATAACCCAAGGCACATCTAGATACTGAATTTCTAACTGTATTATATTATCAATGGGCCTCAGAGGGGATTAATAACCCCTAGAAACTATATGCCAACTTTCACATTTGGGATAATATGCACTTTGGAAAGAGTGATAGCTTTCATTTCCTTCTGCCCCCACCAATCATCTGAAACTGCTTCCTTAACTGAATCAGTAACAAAGCAGAGTGATGGACTATCCACCCTGTATCCAAACAGAAGCCACATAATTATATGACCAAGATTAAGTACTGACCTACTCTCATAAAATCTGCCACCTATCTCCCAGTTACTAATAATATCTTAAATTGGCTAAGACTATCATATGCAAACATCAAATATCCCATAGATACCCATGTGAAGAGTTCTTAACTTATCGTGTATGGATTGGGCTTAACTGTTGCAGGTTCATGGGCTCCTCTGAGAATCTGATAAGCACAATGGACCTTTGCCCACCTGGGATTTTGTATACAATTTTAAAGACTCCAAGTGTTCTGGAGCTATGCATAGTGCTCATTAGCATCTCAAAGAGTCTGTGATTTAAAAAATGTAGAGAATGATTTTTTTAAATACTTTGGAATTAACAGGCCATCACATCTTACAGTAAGAGGTGACTTGACAGGGAATAAAGTTTTCACTGCAAGTGCAGAATAACGATATTTCCTCTTAATAAGAGCATCAAGTTAAGACCAAATGCAAAGACAACTGGGAGATCCCAAGATAGAAGTTCATCATAGGCTGATATTAAAAATTGGGTCTTGTTCGATAGGAATGCAAAGAGGAAAATGAAGATGACAGTCACAATGAGAGTAGAAATGCATATTTATTGATTGTCTATTATGTCAGACACTCTGGAGTTTTCCTAATAAATTGAGAGGTAGGGAAAGAAACAGCAAATTGTCATTAGGAAGTAGTCATTAATGACTTAACACTTGCATAGTGTTCACAGTAAAGTGACTTGTCCAGTTCTAGAGAGAAACAGGGCTGAACCCTGTTTTTTAACCCTGATTTTCTGACTCTGAGCTCCACAAGCCTTTGATTTGTTCCATAAGGCCATCCTGACTGGGTGTTCTGTTTATAATTAGTTTTCTCAGTGATGCCCCAAACAAATAGGATGGCAGTCTCACACATATGGAGATGCAACCAGGATCTCTAGTTAATCTTATGGATTTTCAAACAGGGTGGGAGAATTGCAGACTATACTTACCGCTGCCTTTGACTGCCTTTGCAGTCCTGGAGCTGTGCTAGTAACTGCTCCCTGTGGGTTTGTCTGAGAACTATTAGCAGCACTAAGAGAAGAGGAACGTCCACATGGTCTTTCTGATAGCTGATCTGTGAAAAGAGGAAAAGGCATGGTAAAGGAATCACTCATGTCACAAAAACATCTACAACATAACATTATCTTTCACGGGACAATTATCAAAGACATCCTGGCTGTCATTCTGTTCGTAGTCTAAATATGCCAAGTGAATTTCACTTCCCCCCTCCCTTTTTGGTGGCCAACTTCTTTTTCTTAACCTTACTGGCCATTGCTCTCCAGTAGAATGAAAAACAGCGACAGAACCACATTTTCTCTTAACCCATCTCCCTACCACTCTTCCCTCCTGAACCAGTTGCAACAGTCTGCCGTTATTGGAGGCAGAACTATATTGGGTACCAAACAGCTGTTTGCGGCTTCTTATTACTTTGAGATATTTCAAATTTCTCTCTTTGTTTTTCGGCCCAGAACTGAGTTGCTCTGTTCTTAACTCACATGGAACAATATGTGTGGCATATATAATGTAAAATCTCCCTGGTATGGGAGGCAGTTGGGTGGGGTGGAGAACGAGAATGAGAAACTGTGTGCCTGGGACAGAAGCAATTCTGATACTTTTTTTTAATGAAACTTGGGAGTTTTCTCTTCCTTGAAACCTTGTGAAATGTGATCAGGCCTGAGCTGAGCTGGATGTTTTCAGTATGCTGAGAGTGTACTAAAGAGAGGATCTGGCTTCTTGACAAATTCAAATGAGAGTTCTTTTCCCCTCCATTTATTTTTAAAAGATATAAACTGCAAAAGCCTAAAGCCCAAACATTCCCTAGGCGACAAGCTCAGTACCCAAGTAATTTCCTTGATATTGTGGGTTTTAACTTTCACTCCCTTGTATTTTTATAAATATATGTGGCAAGGGAAGAGACTGTAAAACTTGCTAGGAGAGTTTGGCAAAGGAACATATAATTTGTGTGGCATAATGTTAGAATTACACGATCCTCCCTGCCCAGAACTGGATAGTTGGCATGTGTGTTAAATATAGTTACTTGAATTAGCTGTACTTTCTGCTATACGCCTTACGACAGCTCAAAAGCATTTTTTTTCAAATAGCAAAAGAACAACTTTGGAGAAGTATTTTTACATGTATTGCTATTATGTACAGCTCTTTTGACTAAAACTATAATTACTTGATAGCTTCCTAGATGCTCTGTCCTATTTGGCATTTGGTTATATAGTCTGTTCTTGTTCTCTAATTGTTTCATGTGGGTAAATTGAGTCTCCCTAAATAGACAGTCATTTTCTCAAGGGCAGGGACCATCTATTCCAGTTCCTTTGTAGCACCTGGCAGTGCTGGGCACACAGCCTGTTGACACTGCAACGGTATGAACAGCAAGACCTGTGTTTGGGCATAAGGCCTCTGTAGACAGTCAGATGTGGGTTTGAATCCCAGATCAACCACTTACTTTCTAGTTGGACTACTGTGGGCCTGACTCTCCTTAACTGAAATATGAACTGAAAAAGAATATCTACTCATAAGGTTGCTTCGAAAGTTTAATGAGACCACACACGATTCCTAGGGCAGCCTAAACCAAAAGAAAGGGCTCCAGGCTTTTGAACTCTGATTGTTACCACCCAGCTGTAGGTAAGCTACTACATAAGGAGTCCTCCAAAAGTTCATGGAAAATGCATGTTATGAAAAGACCATTTCAATTTTTTGCACCAAATAACTTGATATTTTCATTCCATTTTGCATGAACTTTTTGAAGTCACCTTAATATCACAGGAGTGAAGTTACACTCTAAGTGGATCATCTTTTTCTTCACATTTAGTATAATTTATATTTAATGGGTACAGTGTGGCAAGTATAAAACATTTAAACAAACAAAAAAAACTGAGGTTTTATTTCCAGGGCCTGATTACTGAGGGGTTCCTTTGCATGAGCAAAGACTTATGGAAAACTATGAGAAAAATATCTCTAGTGGGGAAAGGGAAGTGACAATTGTATTTTTTAAACTTTTTGAAAAGGGGAACTGGTCTTTTCCTTTTTATTTTATGTCTTGTTATGCTCAAGGGCTTTGAATGAAATCTTTTTTTGTTCCAATCATTAAATTAAAGGTATCATAATTTCATCTGTAGCCACTATGTATAAATTCTAAGCTATGAAAAAAAATAAAATATTTGACAATTGGTGGGGTTTATGGGGTGGAGGGTTGCATCAGTTGAACAATCCTGGCTGTAGTTGGTTCCTAGAGTAATCAGAAACACATGGATCCAAAAATGTCACCCAGGGCTCATAAATCACAAGCCTTGCTTACCTTCTGTTGCCTTGTTGACAGCTAAGAGAGTACTCAGAACCTTGGAGAAATTGACCCCTGAATAAAGGTCATCAGGATCAAATACCTATGGGAAAGGAAAATTGAAAATGTAAGACACCGTAAGTATTCAAGAGAACAAACAAAACTATCAAAAGGCCACTTCATTTAGCTCTCAGGAGAAAAAAAAGTAAAAGCCAAGACACAAACCTCTGTATACCTTTGGGAGAAACAAAAGCAGCAGCTGAGCTGTCTAATGACATGTGGCAGGCCATCAGTGAGTCAGCGAAGCAGTAATGGGAAATGAGAGCCAAGCTGAGAAGGTTGCACCCACCAGGAAATGCACAGTGCATACTCAGACTCACTCTTCTGATCTGAACATACCAATACATCCAGCCCTGTTACAGGAAACTCATATGCAAGCGTTACAGCTAATGCCCCTCACCCATAAAATGTCCGCAATAGTCCACAAGTAAGGAGCTGGAGCCTTTTTGACATGATTTCATCTTTAGTTTATTCACCTGTATTCATCAGAGGCACTATCAGAAGTGCCTTGCTTTCCACTCCCCTTCCTCCCTGTTGATGCCCACTGGATCCCAACAACTGGGGATCCCAACTCCATATTGCCCAAACTTTCTGCTCAGGTCTACCTTTTGCTCCCAGCCTCAGTTCCAGGTTTTTGTTGCTTAACCTTGCCCCTCTCTGTTCATCTTTGCTTGCCTGAGCCTAAGGGTTCATCATGGCCTTGGGTTATTTTTTTACATACGATCTCTGGCCTTCCTTATACTACTCAATTCTCAGCAACAAAATGTTATGTAAAGGGGCCAGCGCTGTGGCATACCAGGTAAAGCCGCTGCCTGCAGTGCCGGCATCCCATTTGGGGCGCCGGTTCTAGTCTTGGCTGCTCCACTTCTGATTCAGCTCTCTGCAATGGCCTGGGAAAGCAGTAGAAAATGGCCCAAGTCCTTGGGCCCCTGCACCCGCGTGGGAGACCCAGAAGAAGCTCCTGGTTCCTGGTTTCGGATCAGCATAATTCTGGCCATTGTGGCTAATTAGGGAGTGAACCATCGGATGGAAGACCTCTCTCTCTCTCTCTCTCTCTCTCTGCCTCTCCTTCTCTCTCTGTGCAACTCCAACTTTCAAATAAATAAATAAATAAATCTTTTTAAAAAAGTCTTAAAAAGATGTTATGTAAAGGGGCAGGCATTTGGCACAATAGTTAGCTGCCACTTGAGATGTCCGTGTCCCATATCAGAGTGCCTGAGTTCAAATCCCAATTCTGCTTCTGATCCAGCTTCCTGCTAAATTGCAGCTTGGGAAGCAGCAGGTGATGGTTCAAGTAGCTGAGTTCCTGCCACTCATGTGGGAGACCCAGATGGAGTTCCTGGCTCCTGGCTTCAGCCTGTCCCAACTTCAGCTATTGTAGGCACTTGGGAGTGAAAGATTCTCTCTCTCTCTCTCTCTCTCTCTCTCTCTCTCCTTCTCTCTCTTATACACACTCGCCCTCTGTCTCTTTGACTTTCAAATAAATTAAAATAAATAAAAATTTTAAAAACTTAAATGTTAAGTAAGTACAACATTTCACTTTCCGTCTCAACTACCATTCTGGTATGCTACTGACCCCAGTGAAGATACCGATCAGTAGCTGTTGCCGTTTTAGTACAATTTAATTGTTAATTTCTTTTTTAGTTTTTTTTCTATTTGAAAGGCTGAGTTACAAAGAGAGGGAAAGAAAGAGAGAGAGATATTCCATCCACTGGTTCATTCACCAAGTGGCTGCAACACCGGAGCTGGACCGCTCAAAAGCCAGTAGCTAGGAGCTTCTTCTGGGACTCCTACACATAGGCACAGGGACCCAAAGGACTTGGGCCATCCTCTGCTGATTTCCTAAGCACATCAGCAGGGAGCTGGATTGGAAGTGGAGCAGCCAGAAATCGAATGGGCGCCTACATGGAATGCCAGCACTGCAGGAAATGGCTTTACCAGCTACGCCACAGCGCTGGTCCCAATTGTTAATCTTAAAGTGTATTCAATGTATTAAAATATAATGAAATTTCTTCTCATTTAAAATACGCATATTTGAAAGTAGAAGTACACCCAGGCCTAGGCACAAGCTATTAATTTGCCAGTCAAAAATTTAGTATAGTGGGGGCTGGTGCTGTGGCATAATGGGTAAATCCACTGCCTGCAGTGCTGACATCCCATATGGGCCCAGTTAGAGTCCTGGCTGTTCCACTTCACCTTTATAAATTTTTTTTTTTTTGACAGGCAGAGTGGACAGTGAGAGAGAGACAGAGAGAAAGGTCTTCCTTTGCCGCTGGTTCACCCTCCAATGGCCGCCGCTGCAGCCGGCGCACCGCGCTGATCCTGGCAGGAGCCAGGAGCCAGGTGCTTTTCCTGGTCTCCCATGGGGTGCAGGGCCCAAGCACCTGGGCCATCCTCCACTGCACTCCCTGGCCATAGCAGAGAGCTGGCCTGAAAGAGGGGCAACTGGGACAGAATCCGGCGCCCCAACCGGGACTAGAACCCGGTGTGCCGGCGCCGCAAGGTGGAGGATTAGCCTATTGAGCCACGGCGCCGGCTTGTTCCACTTCTGATCCAGCTTTCTGCTATGGCCTGGGAAAGCAATGGAATATGGCCCCAGTCCTTAGTCCCCTGCACCTGCATGGGAGGCCCGGAAGAAGCTCCTGACTCCTGGCTTCAGATCGGCCCAGCCTTGGCTGTTGGGGCCACCTGGGGAATGAACTAGTGCATGGAAGACCTTTCTCTCTATCTCTCTGCCTCTGCTCTCCGTGGCTCTGCCTTTCAAATAAATAAATAAATCTAAAAATGTAGTATAGTAATTCAAAAAATTAATGGAAAAAATAAAAAACTATGACTTTATTTGGTGAAAAAGAAATCTTTGGTTCAAAAAATTTGGGGTGGGGAGGTGGGCTGCCTGTGACTGCAGCATCCCATATTAGAGTGCCAGCTCACACTCTGGCTGCTCCACTTCTGATCCAGGTACTTGCTACTGTGCCTGGGAAATCACAAGAAGACAGCCCAATTTCTTGGGCCCCTGTCACCCAGGTGAGAGACCTAGATGTAGTTTCAGGCTCCTGGCTTTGACCTGGCCCAGCCCCAGCCATTGTGGCCATTTGGGGAGTGAAAAAACAGATGGAAGATCTGTCTCTCTGTGTCTCTCCCTTTCTGTCACTCTGTATTTTGAGTAAATAAATCTTTTAAAAAGTTTCATAATGCATGGAAAATATGTGCTATGAAAGAAACTGCATAGATTTCAAAATGATTTTTGCACCCAAATAAATTCATACTTTTAGTTCCATTTTTTCGTAAATCTTTGAAGTACCCTCATACATAATTATGGATAACCAGATGCCCACTTTCTGGATGGAAATGGCCCTTCTAAAAATATTTCATTCCAGGGTATCTAGAAGGCTCTTGAAGAGAACAGATTGCATCCTTTGTTTTCCCAAATGTGGTGTTGGGCATAAAATATACCTTTTCATATGAGACCTCATTTGTAATAGGCCTAAGATTTTCAAGGATGTGTCTTCCCATTAGATAGAGCCATTTGTTCCATTTTTAACATGCATGTTTTCTGGCAGCCACATCAAGACAACTTTTTACTTTCTTTTCCAACATATTTTTGAAGATCTAAAATCTGTTTCTAGAATGAAAAGATGTAATGCATATTTTTCAAATTTGGGGGTCAATATAGTTACACCCCACCATTTAATCAATGAATGTTTGCAGTGAAAACTAAAGGTGACTGAAAACCCCAATGGCATAAAAAAAGACACACTAATGTACTTTTAGTAAAAAGATAATGTGATTGATGCCCACTATCATCCAAATATATTTCCGAATGCCACAGCATAACATTCAAGGATTTCCAGGAATTAATTGACAGGAGTTCTGTTTTAGTTTGCCAAAGCCTGGGTGAACAAGATGCAAGAGACTCTACAGAGAATATTCAGGATCCCAGGGGATTCTAGACTTACTGAATCCTCCTTAGAACTAAGCAAGTAGGGGGAAATGTTAATGATACCTATACCAAAACAAAAAATTCACTTGTTTTTAGCCCATGCTTCCTAATGGAAGTTTGAATATGAGTGTGCATAATGGACATCCGTATTGGGTAGATGTGGTAGAGATGAATGGAATCTGAAATTATAAGCAGATGTAAATAATAGCAAAAATAAGGCATGGCAACAAAAACTATGATTAAAAAAGAAAAACTCCCCTTTTGCTTTAGTTGTTCCTTATCCAAGTTAATGGACTAACCATACATGGCAACACTGGTACTATTCACTTACACTAGTACTTGACTGAATTTGAAAACAAACCGATGAGAAAATGAAATGTGCATCAGCAAGAGTCATTCCATCTGCTTGAGGGAAGTTGCCTGCACTGTACACACTTCCCTTTTCAGAAAACCTCAACACAGCCAAGTTTATTCAAGGACACCATTGTTCTTGCTACAAGCTTATTCCTTAGCACTAAAAATCACATAATAAAAAAGTTGGAAGAGGACCATAGTGACTAGTAACAAAGGTAATTTGGAAGGATTATGATTTCAGGGCAGTTAGAAGATCAGCTGTAACTGAAAGCACTCTACACATTACCCTTTATCAAAGCCCAAATTGAACGGATATTATGGATATTGACATTTCCACTAGAAATCCTTCTTCCATGCACTTGAGATTGATCCCCTAATAGAAATATTATTTGTAGGGAGTGCAACACCTTCAGCCATTATCAGTCATTTATAACTTAGTTGGAAATGAGAAGTGTGAGATTACCTTTACAGATGATGGTGTGGAGAAAGACTAATGGCACTGGTGTCCAACTTGGAAAAACCAAGGGAGAATCCCCAAATGTGGAGAAGGTATGAAAATAAACAAGAAAAAATAGAGGCGGGTGTTCTGACATAGGAGGTTAAGCCATCGCTTGAGATGCCCACATCCCACAGATGATTGCCAAGGATCTAGTTCTGGCTATTCTGCTTCCAATCCAGCTTCCTACAAATGTCCCTGGAAGGCAGCAAAAGATGGCCCATGTGCTTGGATTCTTGCCACCCACATAAGA